TATTACTTGCTGCGAGTTCAGTCTGCTGCAAGCTCTAGAGAATGTCCTAGGTTCGGATCTGGTCTACTACGAAATTGATGGACCAGGTGCTTGGGTTCAGTGGACCACTCAGGCCAAAGAACTGAAGGTATGAACACATATAGTAGTTATTGTCTTTTAATCTTGTATTTCTCTCCCCGAAATACAACTCAGTCTGTAATTTAACTGAAGAAACAAGAGAAGTGTTTGCACAGACTCTGGTATCAATAGTTATATGATAAAGAAGATAGCGATATATAAGGCATACTCCAAGAAGAAGCCAGCGGAGAATCAGAAAACAGGCACTGAAATGTGAAACAAATAATGATGGTGTCTTAGAGAAACCCACAATTTTACTTTGATGTGTGCTGGACAGATTCCATCCATTGTCTTGAAAAGATTCTACAGAATAGAACGGAATCAAGGACTAGACTGAGTTATGAGTTTATGTATGAGTTTTTATGAGATTATCTTCACAGCACTCGTGACACATCCATAGGCGCTCAGATTTCCCTCTCAACATATTTATCAGCGTCTTGCGGTTAATAGCACCAGTCCTATGTTGGTTAACAAGACTTCGTGTGCATCCGGTGTGCTTCTCATGCTTGGCTGTGCCCATCTTTACTCCCTATTTGCATATTTTTAGCATTGATGTGAACCCGTTGCTTTCAAAATCCTTAGAGCGTCCTGTCTCTCTAAGGGCAATGACAATGTCTGCGTGATCCATGGGCCGGCCATCTTCAATTAATGCAGCACCTGCCAGTCTATCAGCTATTTTATTATCAACAACGCCTTCATGCCCTGGGACGAATATGAAGGTAACTGCAAACACAGGAGAGTTTTGCAATGACTCAAAGCACTGTCCGCATAACCAGCCTGCCTTGACCTGCCAGATCATGCTCAAAGAGTCACTCAGCACACACATGCGGGAATAGTCCTGTGACTCTAGCCACACAAAAGCCTGTGTCAGCGCCATCACCTCCATCGTCATGCTGCTGGTGGTCACGGAGAAGGCACCGCTGGCTTCTTGAATTGTTCTGCCTGAAGAGCGAGCTGTAAATGCCCATGCACTCTTAAGGACTAGACTGTGATCCCCATGTGACATTAATTCCACAACAGGATGATGATGTTGATGATAAATTTAACTCTGGGAGTGAAAAGGTATACCATGTGTCTCTAAACTGAAATGTATTTAATCATGTGACTCATAAGGTTATTAAAGCTTCCATTATTATTATTATTGTTTTTAAATTCATTTTTGAGAATTTTTTTTCTTTGATCGGTATTGAGCAAAAGACTGTTGGATCTGCAGGTGATGTTCTAACTGCTACACCATGGCGGCTCCCAGCGGGGATTATTTTTGTTAATAATAATACTGTGGGACAGAATGTGGTGACATCTTAGATTCATCAAGAGACAATAGATCAAGTGGTTTAGTCATCTTGTTAGAATGTGGTGACATCTTAGATTCATCAAGAGACAACAGATCAAGTGGTTTAGTCATCTTGTTAGAATGTGGTGACATCTTAGATTCATCAAGAGACAACAGATCAAGTGGTTTGGTCATCTTGTTAGAATGTGGTGACATCTTAGATTCATCAAGAGACAACAGATCAAGTGGTTTGGTCATCTTGTTAGAATGTGGTGACATCTTAGATTCATCAAGAGACAACAGATCAAGTGGTTTAGTCATCTTGTTAGAATGTGGTGACATCTTAGATTCATCAAGAGACAATAGATCAAGTGGTTTGGTCATCTTGTTAGAATGCAGCATCAAATACTGTGTACACGCACTGGGTCTCAGACAATCAGCTTCAACAGCAAGAGGACAGCCATGAAGAAATGCAACAAGAACATTTAAGACACCCTACGCCATCACGACATGACAAATAGCCTTTGTCATCCACCGTGCACTGAATTGCCAGTTATACCTGCCCACGATGCCTGATGGCTGTAGTGGTTAATGAGGATACATGATGATAGTGATAGTTTAAAAATTTTAATGGCTCGTTTGTGTCATATTTTGTCTTCACTTTAATTGAATGTAGGGACAGCAGCTAACTCTCCGCTACCACAGCCAGCCAGTGTCTGCCACCAGGGCAGCACTTTGTGACCCGATGGAGCAGGAGACGGAGCTGAAACAGCTGGAGGTCACACACAACATCCCAGGCAACCCTGCAGCTGAGTCCGATCAAGAGTCTGATTCTGAGACACATCTTAAGGTATCCACTGTAGGAATTCGATCAACAGTGAATTTTTACTTGATCACTTTTGTTATATGTTTATCACATAGGTCACACAAATTTTCAAGGTGCACAAGACTGCAGAGAACACTAGGCTAGCACTAAAGTGTTTGTGCACAGAATTACTAGTCTCCCAAACTTATCTAGAGAACACTAGGCTAGCACTAAAGTGTTTGTGCACAGAGCTACTAGTCTCCCAAACTTGTCTGACGGGGGAAACTTCCCAGTGTCTTGAAGATTTTTCTTGAACTCAGTAAATATTCAGTCCATCTGGTCATGTGATTTGTGCTTGTAAAACTCCCTAGAGTGCATCTGGTCATGTGATTTGTGCTTGTAAAACTCCCTAGAGTGCATCTGGTCATGTGATTTGTGCTTGTAAAACTCCCTAGAGTGCATCTGGTCATGTGATTTGTGCTTGTAAAACTCCCTAGAGTGCATCTGGTCATGTGATTTGTGTTTGTAAAATTCCCTAGAGTGCATCTGGTCATGTGATTTGTGCTTGTAAAACTCCCTAGAGTGCATCTGGTCATGTGATTTGTGCTTGTAAAACTCCCTAGAGTGCATCTGGTCATGTGATTTGTGCTTGTAAAACTCCCTAGAGTGCATCTGGTCATGTGATTTGTGCTTGTAAAACTCCCTAGAGTGCATCTGGTCATGTGATTTGTGCTTGTAAAATTCCCTAGAGTGCATCTGGTCATGTGATTTGTGCTTGTAAAATTCCCTAGAGTGCATCTGGTCATGTGATTTGTGCTTGTAAAATTCCCTAGAGTGTATCTGGTCGTGTGATTTGTGCTTGTAAAACTCCCTAGAGTGTATCTGGTCGTGTGATTTGTGATTGTAAAATTCCATAGAGTGTATCTGGTCATCTAGTCAGAATGCCTGGTTCTCATTTGGTATAGGGTTCAAATCCTTTGTAAGTTGATGAGAATTTTATTTTTCCTGATGGGAAACAAAATAAATTCTTAATGGGCACAGTTCATGACAGCTGTACCAGCTATGCAGCCCTAAATTCTCAGGGTAATTCCCCCACACACACACCCACCCTTTTTCCTGCCCTTCATCTCCCTAAAATATCATATAATAATGGCAGTTAAAAAAAAAGTTTGAAAACAAATCTTTAATTGTTTTCTGTAGCTGCACTTATTCATGCCAGATTTTGAACATTATCACAGTTATAAATAAACATACTAGTGAAGCAGATGAATTTTTATTCAGTAAACTCACTTTTTCTTTCTTTCTGTCCAGGTATTGGAATGTACACAAATAGAAAACCTGAAGTATTCGCATGAGCCATCAATTCAAGTGAGCAGCTCCAACAATCTTACACTGTCAGGCTCCTTGAATACAGAGAAAGTAAGCTCAAGATCATTATCCGTCGAAGGACCAACAAAAATGTTCAGTCCCCTGTCGGTAGACAGCAAAAACTTTCAGTTTTCATCAGACGGACAAACTCATGTGAAAAACCTGGTGGTGGATGGACAGAACACACCAGGTGTTCATGTGATTAAACATTTTCCAGACAAACTTCTCTATGAAGAAATTTCAAGCAAAAGAAGTAATCAGTGTGTAGAGACCAACCAGGCACATCCTCAGCAGGTTTTAGATAATGTTCCACGACTTAGTTTGCTGGAGACTGACCTTTCCAGCTTGTCTGCAGATACACAGACACCTGAGGTACAATGGGTACAACCGGTACAGCAAAACAGGCTCAATGACCTCAGCTGTATGACTCCATCATTGAGGAAACATTATGTGGAATCGGAAACTATTGCCAAATCATTGGTACATGAAAATGTAAGATCTATCAATGTGTCAGGACAAACTGGCAAGCATAGTCTCTTTGAAAGTTCTAGTAACATTCCGTCTGACCATGAACTTGCTACCCAAATACCAATATTCTCAGAGTTAAACGTCTCTGAGCTGTGTATGTCTGGTGCTGCAAGCTCTTTGTTCACACAGGGACAACAAGATCAGTTTTTTGATGTCCCAGTTTCTTGTGTAGGAAATGGGTATTTACCCCACACCTGTATTAAAACTCATGAAGGACATTTTGAGAACTGTGAGGGATCCATAGAGGATATCAGACCTACACCCTGTAGAAACTGTGGCCTGACAGCCACATCCACATCCACACAACAGCAGTTACATCATCATCATCATCATCATCATCAGCAACCTTTACTGGATGTGACAGAAATGAGGTCCAAGCATCTGTGGCTGCAGAAGCTTCAGAGGCAGCAAGCCTTGACCTTGCCTCAGATCTTCCCTCCCAGTAACGATCTAGAGAGTCTCACAGACAGTGACAGCCTCAACCTTTTACCCCATGAAATATTTCACAAAAGTAATGAAATGTATCAAGGTACTCAGCAACACAGATCTGAGCTAAGCCAGACCTCTTCTAATGAAACAGTTATGTATAATCCACAGAGCATGGACCACCAAAGCGCTCATCTTTCAGAGATTTCTCAGCATGACAGTGACCAAATACAAAACCCTCTCTATTCTCAGCAGGAGGTCCAGGAATTGACCTCCCCCTTCTTGAAGCCGAATGCCTCTCCATATCTGATGTGCCACACACCGCCTCCAGGGTTTCCAGATGAGCAAACGCATGACAATCATCCCCACGAATTTGAAGACAAGGGAAAATACATACCTCCACAGACAGGCAACTCATCGTTGGCAGCAGACGAATTTAGTGAATCTGGTCAGTTCCTGGATAAACTAAGTCAGATGACCAATATGGATACTGGATCAGAACAGTACATGGCAATGTTCCAGCCAACAGTCCATGGGATGGGAAACCCAAGCCTCAAAGTGTCAGCTGTGAGGTCACAGAGTTCACTGGCTCACCCCACCACACCAGAGAATATTGGATACTCCAGCGGCAACACTTCCCAAAACCCCAGAAATCAAATTCAGAGTGTCATCAGCTCTGACAGCAGTGGCGGCTCTTCTGAATGTCCTGTTTTTATTTATAGTCAGCCATTCACTGTGTTCACCGAAGGTCAAAGTTCATTCCGAACTCCGAGGCCATTCCACCCTGCCCCACCAGTGTTTGATGCCCTGGGGAGGCAAATGAATGCTTCCATGCCCAACGATCACAACATGTTTAGAACTTCTTTCGGTGCAAGTGGGCAGTTCCACCAAGATGGCTGCTATAATGTTTCTAGAGGACAGTTAGCGAGAAGCAAATCACTGCCTATCCACCGCATTCAGACCAAATCTATGGTGCACACACGAAGCATGGATGCTCAGCCTCCTGTTGAGAACTTAGAAACAGAACTGTTAACTCTGGAAGGATGGAATCCCCATGTTAATGGAGATACAGTAAGTCTTTCTCTTTTTCTGCTCTACTTTCTGGCTTAATTCATAATGATGATGTTGATTTTGGAGTTTAGTAACTAAAATATGTGAGTTCAAACAAAATTCAGAATGTGCTTGACATGTTTAAAGTCGAGATAATCAGACTTCAGTGCATTGGTTGTTATCACGTCCGACTTGTTTTCTTTCTGCATATGTATTACCTAGAAGGTGGCGATATCGCAGTTTAGCTGTAAACCACAGTACAATGTTCCAACTGCCCTTTTAAGGACAAACACTCAAGAAGAAGAAGCTGTCAAACAGAACAAATCACTAGCAAAAACAAAATGACTGTTCTTGTTGTTTTGGCATCTGATAAATGGCTCATCAGGTCACAGTTGTGTCAAGCTGTCATTACAGCAGGCATGGTACCACCCCCTCCCCCAGTTATTGGTCCAGTGAGATATTTTGTGAAAAATTACAGATTACAAGATTGTGTATGTGTGATTTTCACTGCTTCTGTTTTCACTTATCCAGATTCAGGAGACAATGGACAAGTTCAAATCTCCGGATGGTAATTATATCATATGGAAAAGTCGCAGACACAACAAGTTTGTCATTTCTGTGAGGTCAGTTGGGTCCTGTTCTGTGTGTTTGTTTGTGTATTTAGACCCTGGAACTTTCAGCACTTGATGGAACTCATTGGTTATCTTCGTACTCACGGCCATTTATCATTATTATTTTTGAGTCGAAAGTGCTCTTTATCAGTTGTGATGGGCCAAAAACACATACAATCTCTGGGAGATGAGGGGTGGGTACTTTGTTTTTAGTTCAGCCCAAACAAAGACAATCCATGAGTTCCAGGGAAAGTCAAATATTCTATTGGTGTTATGGTTTCAGGTTAGGGTTGGGTTAGTCAGTGTCTCTGAGGCGGACGGGGCTGACAAAGATCCTAACCTTAACCCATACCACCCCTAGAATATTGTACTTTCCTGGGAACTCAGGGATTACCTTTGGAGTAATTTAAAAATAAAGTACCAACAAGTGCTATTTTGCTGATCATTGTCAATTTGAAAATCTGCTACAGTGATTTGTGAATGAATTAATTATCACAGCACTCCATACAGATCCATAGATGCTCTGATCTCCTCCTCAATAGCTTCTCTGATGACACCCGTTCTGTGTTAATTGATCAGATGTCTTGTGCCCTTGATGAAATGGTCATAGAGAAGAATATTTGGAAGAATATCTCTCTGTTAATGGAATGTGATGTTTTAATCAACAAATTCTATTTCTCTCTAGCTATTTGAATATCCTTTCATTTTCTGTTTAAGTACATGTTTTTAATACAAAGACAGGGAGATTTCACTTCATAAATGTAATATTTACAAGTCAATTGATGCTGTTTCATGTTAGTAGAATCACATTCTGTCAGTGTGATTTATTTAAATGGGTTCTTCCCATGTGGGCTCTAGTGCCCTATTTTGAGAGAAAAAAAAGCATAGACCAAATCAAATGCCCCCCCCCCCTCCCACCCCACCGCAAACAAGTTATGAACCTGGCTTACAAATAAGCCAGATCTGTAAAACGGATGTACACACAAAACTCAGATTCTTAAACTAGACTAGTCCAGAAGTAGGTGAACAACCAGAACTTTGCCGCCTGGTTCACAGTCAGTGAACATGAAAAAAAAATTGGTTCTTCAACTTTCTATATCCTTGACTTTCATTGCTGCAGCTATCACTAATTTTCCATTCATCTCTGTGATTAACTTTCCTGTTCCAGTCGGTGACTCTAAGTGTTTGTAGGTCTACATGGATATTCTCTCTCCACCGACTTCTGTGACTGCATCATTGTCTCCTACTGTTAATCTCTTTTGTGTACATTTTTTATTCTCTGTACATGCCCATTTGGCTGAGATTTATAAGCCGTCATGATGCCAGTAATTAATGGTGCCAGTAATTAATGGTAATCTTAATGCAAGGCTCTCAGACTTAAAGTAAACTGAAACAGATGTTTAAAATGATGTTTTTTCATGTTAGAACAAAATATCAGTTCATTAATAGACTGCAAAGTTAATCAAATTCTTTTTATCTCTACAGTTATTTGAATCAACTGTTTCATTTTCGAGTAGACGAAATGACATCACAGAACAATGGAAGAACCGTCTATTTCCTGTTTGAGGGAGGTTACTCATCTGAAAGTTTCCTGGATCTGCTGCAGCACTACAAGCAGAATGGCATCAGGATATCCATGCAGTCAGCGGGCAAGCAGAAGACGTACATCGAGAACATTCATCTACTGTGCCCTCTCAAGGTGACAACACAGATGGTAAGGAAGGGTACCTGGAAACTGAAGTGAGATTTAACTAGAGGAAGAGATAATAGAGCTAGCCAAACAATTAGAGCTATTCATGAAACCACTAATTTTTAAATATTCACAGTACCAGCTTCACGGCTAATGGGTCACCTTATAATTACTCCGTTCCTGTGCCAGCGAAAACTAGACCATTGTTTTGACACGGCTAGTTGCGTATCCTTTACAGGACGTTTGCAGAACCAACCCCAGCAGCCCCTGGCTGTTGTGTGGTTGTTCTAGTCAAATTTACATCCAGTAGTTTGCCATTGCTTTCTGGACGGTCGGCTTTCTTGATACCACTGTTGAAACCAACGCAAAGCGCATGGCCTGCAGCTGGGATTAAACCTGGCATCCTGGTATTACAAAGCGTTCGCATCAACTTAGCCACAGAGCTGACGCACCATTGTACATTGTTAAAATTTTTTTAACATACTGTAGTCTTTCGGCATAGCCAATATCACACACTTACATGAAATGCATAAGGCAGCCATCACAAGTGCCAGCACAAACAGACCAACACTAGAACTGCATTTTGTCATCAACAGAAGCAGTTAGTTACAACACATCAGCGGTTTATTTATGGAATGTAAGTGGCTTTCATTAATTTTACATGGGAAGTAACTCATAAAATTTTGAACAAAATGAACTACTGGCAAACGAATAGCCTGGCAGATTCTGTTGGCATGTCACATGATGTTTGGCTCTAGAGTGATTAGGATGCCAAGTTGATTTTTGCAGGGACCAGCTCAGCACAGACGCACGCACATGCACAGTTCAACAACCCAGCACTGACACGCATGCACACACACACTAAGTTCAAAATGTGTACAAAATAAACAATTTAGTGTTTACAGCAACTTGACCCCAATCCAAGATATAAGGTTCGCAAACACTTTCATCATCTTCCCACATGGGAATATGCAAGACGTGGTTATTGCTCAGCTACTCTAACATTAAAGGTCTTGTAACTGGTCTGCAATCTCAAATGGTCAAGGTTTATAGCCCTTGGCAGATTTTATCACAGCAGACATGTATGTCTTTTCATGTCCCCCTATTGCACTATCTAGTCATACGCTGTGTTGTGTTTAGTTATTTGATGGTGGTTGATTATTTGCTAGCCAGATGTTGTCTGTCTCTGGGATATTTTAGTGGTGGTTGACTGTTTGTTAGCCAGACTCGTGTCTGTTTCTGGGAAATTCTAGGGGTGGTTCACTGCTTGTTAGCCAGACTCATGTCTGTTTCTGGGATATTCTAGGAGTGGTTGATTGTTTGATAGCCAGACTCGTGTCTGTCTCTGGGATATTTTAGTGGTGGTTGATTGTTTGTTAGCCAGACTCGTGTCTGTCTCTGGAATATTTTAGTGGTGGTTGACTGTTTGTTAGCCAGACTCGTGTCTGTCTCTGGGATATTCTAGTGGTGGTTGACTGTTTGTTAGCCAGACTCGTGTCTGTTTCTGGGATATTCTAGGGGTAGTTGATTGTTTTATAGCCAGACTCATGTCTGTCTCTGGGATATTTTGAGGGTGGTTGATTGTTTGATAGCCAGACTCATGTCTGTCTCTGGGATATTCTAAGGGCGGTGTTGAAGTAATTTTTTTGATGAGATCACCACAAATGAAGGTTGATTACAGTACAACTACTGATTTCTTTAGAAATACTGTGGTACCTCAGAATTTGAATGCTTCAAAATTTGAATAACTTGGAATATGAACAAAATTTTAAGTAAATTTTGCCACAAAATTGAACACCTGACACATGTTAGGCATGCGCTGCCACAAAGCTCCACTTACACTTCAATTTGTTTTCATAGGCTGTAATAAATGTGTCTTGGTGATTTTTGTAGGTAATTTAACTAATTTGTGCTTATTCGTTTAAAAAAAAAATGTATTAAAAAGAAAACACTCAGTGACTGTGCTATGGTTGGTTTAAAAAAAAAGTAGTGTTGAAAAACAAAGTAAGGGATGTTGAGTGGACATGTGTATTAGTATAACTACTTCTGCAGTGAGGCAACTTAGCCACTTGAAAGTGACGGGCTCGATTCCCAGCACGGTAACTATAGTTTTCTATTTTTATGTTGTCTAGTGTATCTTTTTATCTTTTTACTTCTTTCTGTGAGTGTCAGCCAGAATCTTGTATATTTATTTATTACATGTAGGAATTGGCAGTGTTGCCAGAGCTGTAGACAGGCAAATAGTATTTCTGTATTCTTGCTCTAAGGCACACAAAGAATCAGGAATCTGAAATCTGGCCACCCAGCCTGATGCAAATGCACTGTACATGGATGCCTATACACAGTCTTTCTTGAGCTTATGCAAGGCCGGCATTGTCAGTACGTGGCTATTAAAACATGATTTCCAATTTTGAATGATTTTATTTTGTTGGCATCTGTGATTTAGGTGTTGCAAATATGCTTTATAATTCTGAGGTAGCGGGTTCAATCACAGCTGCGGATGATTTGACAGAAGACTGCCTTGCGTCGGTATTGACAGTAGTATAAAAAAGAAGAGGCAAACTATTGAGTGTAAAACTGTCTAGTAAAACTGTAAAACATGCTGAGGTCAGTTCTGCAGCTTCATAGAAAGGATGTGCAACTAATTTCTTCTAATAAACTTTTGATTATTTTCTTGAATATGATTTTACAAAATGATTTCATATGACATATCAGGGCAAATGTGCAACAGTTTTGTTATTTTATTATCATCTTTAGTGTTGTTTAATTTGTCTTTGCTCACATTTGCAAGTGCAGCTTTCAGTTATAACAAACTTTTCACTATTGTCACTTGCTGACATTATTTTAATGTCTGCAACATGCTCAAAAGGCCACCTATATTGTCCTGTATTATCGAGAAGGCTAGGCATCATATCTACATTAGAGAGATGTATAACCTGTTTATGTGTCTTATTTTTAATGCTTCTAAATGTAGGAATATATCTGATCATGTATGCTGTTTATAAATTGAGATTCTACATATACAAATTATTTATGAAAATTACATGTATTCGTTAGTAATAATTAAATGACATTGTGTGCAAAAATACTATTTATTTGTGTGTATAGTTGTTTTAAAATAAAGTAGTTTTTTAAATGTATTATCTTCTTATATAAAGTCTTCACGGATGGAACTAATGTGCTCTGTTGTTTGACCAAAATGTTTGTGGGATTAATGTGCTCTATCTTTATGCAAGGAAACTGATAGAACAAAGGTATTACCTTGTTTGACAGAGAAGTTAATGGAATTAATTTACTCCATCTCTGTACACAGATATTGTGCTGCCTTGTTTTACAAAGAAGTTAATGGAATTCATTTACTCTTATCTCTGTACACAGATATTGTGCTGTCTTGTTTTACAGAGAAGTTAATGGAATTAATTTACTTCTATCTCTGTACACAAATATTGTGCTCTCTTGTTTGACAGTTAATGGAATTAATTTACTCCATCTCTGTACACATATATTGTGCTGCCTTGTTTTACAGAGAAGTTAATGGAATTAATTTACTCTTTCTCTGTACACAGATATTGTGGGACATAATGTATTCTCTAGTTATATGGAGCAAATTACAAAACTAATGTATTTTTTTTTAAACAGAGAAGATCTTGGAACTTTTGCAACACAAAGAAGCAAATGGAACATAAATACTTTTGAAATATAGAAACAACCTCGTATTAGTAATGTCTTCACCAATTTCTGTTTTGTGTAATTACTACTGATCTTGTTTTTTGCACTGTTTAAGTGAGAATCTCATTAATGTATCATTTGTAGATAGATAAACTGTCAGATAATGCACTGTTTGAGTTAGAATGAACCTCATTAATTATCATTTGTAGTTAAACAGTCAGAAAATGCCCTGTTCAAGTTAGAATTAACCTTATTTTAATGTATCATTTATAGTTAGATAAACTGTCAGATAATGCACTGTTCAAGTTAGGCTTAACCTCATTAATGTATCATTTATAGTTAGATAAACTGTCAGATAATGCACTGTTTATAGTAAGAAGCTCAGTTGAAGTTTTGTAATGCTGAAGCTCATAAATTTATAAATATTTATCAATCAGCAGGTTCTTCTCACAACGTGGCTCTCATCAAGGCACACCTGAAAGTCTCTATTTCTAGCCAGTTCTCTAGCCCCTTATAGCCGGTACATCTTCAATGTATCCCCCCTTTGCACAGGCTGACCTCTGCCTTGCTTTTTTGGAAACTGTAACCTCTGTCGCCATTTTGTTTTCAGGCCACCATCACCTTTAACTCATGTCAGATCTGAGGACAGAATGCTGTTTATGAGCCAGTTCTCCTCAATGTTCAGATCATGTAGGATATCCTTTTTTTTTTCTTCTTCTTGGTCTGCGGTATTCTAAGAATTTTTCTATAACAGTTAATTCAGTTCAACTTTGTTTCTTCATTGATACATACATATGCTGTATGTAAAACCTGTGTGTTGAAATAAATGAATTACCTGTTATCTGACCCACTCCACTATTTTAATGTGAATGGAATATAAATTGTTAATATACTATTTATTATCAATGAATGAATCAAGAACTGTATCACTGCACTCCCATACCTGCTCCATCTCCTTCCTCAGTAGCCAACGAAGAGTGCCCACACTGATGGTGTCAGTTGTAACCTGACTAAAAGTCCACCTTTCTTGTCCTGTGTGTGCTGAAACTTGCCCAGATCCTTGCCTGCTTACACCCATCCCCTCCTTCCCCTACCCCAATTCAGTCTTTCGAGATAATCTATTTTAGACTATTTATAAAGTGAATGTACTTTGTGATACTGAATTTGTAGATAACAATAAGATTTTACGCAAGCTGAAACAGGGAGCTGCATCAGCACAGTGGCTAGACTCTTTTCCTGACAGTTCAAATGTCTTGAGTTGAAATCTGCAGGAAGAAGGATTGTTATAATGAACTGGTGCTGCCAGATTGACCCAGCAAGGATTGTTATAATGAACCTGGTACTCCCAGGTTGACCCAGCAAGGATTGTTATAATTAACCTGATG